AGATACTGGCGCATCAAAGTCCATCATAAGATCAGATCTGGTAAAGGGAAACATAACGCAACTTAATGGAGTCAGACTGCGCACAGCAACGGGGGAGCCCGCGGCCGTACACGGCAAGATTACCCTGAGACTAACTATTGCCAATAAATCGGTGAATTACGATTTTATAGTTGCCGATATCGTAGACGAAGTGATAATAGGCGCAGATTTTATGATTGCCTTCGGTATCAATCTGGATATGAAAGAGCGTGTGATGACCTGGTCTAACGTCGAAATTCCGTTAAACGTGGGCTACGATGAAAGTACACCCATTAGACGTCTGACTACGGACCATCCAGAGATAATACCGCCCTGTGCCGAAGCAATAATATGGGTACCAATGAATGGAGATTGTGGAGCCGAGAAGTTGTGGGTGGTGGAACCAGCAGAAAACAGATACAGTAACATCCTAATAGCGAATGCCCTGGTGAAAAGCAACGAGGACGGATTGATTCCTGTTAGAGTTTTGAACCTGTCAAACAAGCAAGAGCAAATTTGCCAATTTTCCGAAGTTGGACAATGCACACCAGCTGAAGCTGTAGTTAATTTGGAAACTAGCACCGAAAAGCCAGCAGCCATGGAGAAGAAGCACCTCGACGGCTACATAAAAGAGTGGACCCACCAATTATCACCTTCCGAGAGGAACAAGGCTAAGCAGCTATTATGGAAGTATGCCTCTACCTTTGCGTTGACAAAAGAGCACCAAGGAAGAACATCAGTGGTGAAGCATGAAATCAATACAGCAGACGCGCGACCCATTAAACAGCCTCCAAGAAGTGTTCCCCTGGCCAAAAGAGACGAGGTCCAGAAGCTGATAAGTGAAATGGAAAAGAGTGGTGTAATAGAACCATCGTCAAGTCCATGGTGCTCCCCAGTAGTCTTGGTCAAGAAGAAAGACGGAAGCACCCGGTTTTGTGTGGACTACCGAAAGTTAAATGATGTCACCAAGAAAGACAGCTATCCGCTCCCAAGAATCGACGACACATTGGACACATTAGCCGGGACGTCATGGTTCTCCACCCTCGACCTGCAGAGTGGGTACTGGCAAGTAGAGATCGCCGAGAAAGATAAGGAGAAAACAGCGTTTGGCGTTAATGGGGGTCTCTGGCAATTCAATGTCATGCCATTCGGACTCTGCAACGCCCCGGCTACATTTGAAAGGCTGATGGAGCGTGTGTTAAAAGGGCTGCAGTGGAAGTCATGCCTCATATACCTGGATGACATCATAGTCATGGGACGCAACTTCGACGAACACATCAAGAATTTAAAGGATGTTCTTCAGCAGCTTTCGTCTTCAGGCCTCAAGCTGAACCCAAAGAAGTGCAGTCTCTTCCAACGAGAGGTGAAGTTCCTGGGGCATCACGTGACGCCGGAGGGCATATCGACGGATAAGGAGAAAATTCAAGCCGTCAGAGATTGGCCGCAGCCCCGAAATCTCCATGAGCTGCGAAGCTTTCTGGGTCTCTGCACCTACTACCGTCGATTTGTCCCAAATTTTGCCAACATCGCCGCCTGTCTACACCGCTTAACGCAAAAAGGCCAGAGGTTCCAGTGGGGCAACGACCAAGAAGAGGCGTTCAGTAAACTCAAAGACATGCTATGTAGAGCCCCCATTTTGGCATACCCTATACCTGGCGGAAAGTTTGCTCTGGACACAGACGCAAGTGCGTGCGGCATCGGTGGCGTCCTTTCCCAGGAAATCGACGGACAGGAAAAAGTCATCGGGTACTACAGCCGGACATTGTCGAAGCCTGAGAGGAATTACTGTGTGACGAGGAGAGAGCTGCTTGCTGCCCTTGAGAGCGTTAAACACTTCCACAAATACCTATATGGCCAGCATTTCCTGCTGAGGACCGACCACGCTGCTCTCCAATGGTTGCTGCGGTTTAGGAATCCGGAAGGTCAACTAGCCCGTTGGATCGAGAGGCTCCAGAGTTATGATTTCAGAATCGAGCACAGAAAAGGCGGAAAACACGGTAATGCTGATGCCCTGTCTCGTCGGCCATGCAAGGTAGAATGCAGGCATTGCTCAAAGGCTGAGAATAAGGAGAATATCGTTGATGTCCGACTATTGCAGTTTGAGTCGGGTGAAGATTGGTCGACGGAACAACGAAGAGATCCCATTCTGGGCAAAGTAATTTCGGCCATTGAAACGGGCAAGCGACCTAGTCGTAAAGAAATTACCTCCGAAAGCCCTCTTTTAAAATCCTATTGGGCCCAGTGGGACAGTCTACTTATAAAAGATGGCTGCCTATATCGCAAATGGGAAAGTGAGGACGGTAAATCTCACCGGAACTTGATCGTCGTCCCAGACTCCAAAATAAGAGATGTCTTGTCGGAGTTTCACGATGGGCCAAGTGGAGGACACCTTGGCATAGCAAAGACCGCTGAAAAGGTAAAGCAGAGATTCTACTGGGTCGGCTGTCAAAAATCCATTGCCGACTGGATCGCCAATTGTGAAAGGTGCATAAAAGCTAAAGGTCCAACACGGAAGAGTCGAGGCTACATGCAGCAGTATAATTCAGGAGCCCCTTTTGAAAGAATCGCAATGGATGTAGCTGGACCGTTCCCAACAAGCGACTCTGGGAACCGGTATGTCTTAGTGGTCATGGATTACTTCAGTAAATGGCCAGAGGTTTATGCTATCCCAAATCAAGAAGCCAGGGCAATTGTGGATGTGTTCAGCAAAAATTGGATTTGTCGCTATGGTGTTCCATCTGAGGTTCATTCCGATCAAGGTAGGAATTTTGAATCAGCGATCTTCAAGGAAATGTGTGACTCCTACGGAATCAAGAAAACCAGAACGACGCCCCTACATCCACAATCAGATGGCATGGTGGAGAGATTCAATCGCACCCTGGAAGAACATCTACGGAAAGTGGTGGACAGTGGCTAACGAGACTGGGATGAGCATATTCCAAAGTTTTTATTGGCTTATAGATCGGCCATTCATGATTCCACATCCCGGACCCCAGCCAAAGTTCTGTTCGGAAATGAATTAAAGCTACCTGGCGATTTGATATTCGGTGCTACCCCAAACGACGATGTGAACCAAGATGAAGACAGTCAAAACTCTTTTAGTAAAGTCCACGATGCAGTTCGCCATCGAATAAAAATGGTTAGCAACCGCATGAAGGCAAGGTACGATCGAGCGCAAATACCGATGGGTTTCAAGAAGGGCAACTGGTACTATTGTTCAACCCACAACGGAAGAAAGGACTATGCCCCAAATTGCAAACGCACTGGGAAGGACCCTACAAGATTGTCACGAAAATAAATGACGTCGTTTATCGCATCCAGAGGAGCGACAGTCCCAGGTCGAAGATGAAAGTTGTACATTTGGAGCGGCTGACCCCCTACGGAACGGGAACTGTGCCTATTCGGGACGAACAGGCTTAAGCGGGGGGCAATGTTACGAATATAACTTTAGATTTAAGTTAATTTAGATTAATTCCGTTAATTTAAGAATTTGAATTGTAACGTAAATTTCTACTACGCAGTTTATTTGAATAACTTCACAACAACAACTACTGTATAGATTTTTCTACATCCTTCCATTTCCTCTTTAATTTTCTATTTTGTTATTGTCGTATAATTCTTGTTAAACGTCATCATTGATGATCGCTTAATTCATCTTTCTTTGTTACTCTCTCGCCTGTATATGTGTTGTTGTTATTGTAAGTTTGTTTACTCAAGTTTGTTGTTGTTATTGTTCACTCAGTAAGTTTGTTGTTGTTATTGTTACTCAATGTGTTTGTTGCATTGGCATTGGTGATCTAGGTGTTACCAGATCGTCTAGAAACTTCTGTAGCGACAGGCAGGGCTCATATAAATAGAGGGAATGGAAAGGCAGTGAGTCAGTTGTGAATCAGATCGCGAATTGAAACCGTCGAGTAAAGTAAAGTGCAAAGTAAAGTTGTGTGAATAAAATCATTGTAATAATCGTAATCAGAACGAACCCGCGTTTTATTTGGTACGAACGGTATCGGGAAATAAAACAACGTCTACACGGGAATAAGTAAAGTCCAAGAACGTAACAATATTATGGTGTTTTTACACGATATGTATTTTACATATGTGCTGTCACTTTTTTGCATATGGAAATCGAACTCGTCATGTGAAACATACGGAAATTTCAATGTGTCAAAACGATATGCAATTACATATGTATTTTTTCCGAATAGGACGCGCTCTATTTTCGTATGTGAAACATAAGGAAATCAGCTATTTGAATGAAACACATTGTTGGAAGAAAATATTTCAATTGCAAGTCAAAGAAACGGATGAAAATGCAACAATTACAAATTATTATTTCGTTTGTAGGTATTTAATAAAAAAAGATGTTGATTTAAGAAAAAATAAAAGTAATTTTTTGTTTATAGGTTATGTCATATGTAAAATACATATGCCGATTTGAACACAAAAATAAATGTTTTGTGTACGCCGCTAATTTTGACACACATAAGGAATTACATATGGAAGAAATAAGTGACAGTGACGATGGACTTTTAAAAATGTTCACACTATGAGCAGTTTAATATTTTGCCATCAACAGTACGTACATAACTAAGGAGGAAATAAAAATTATAATTTTTGGCAATAAAGTTATAGTAAGAAAAAATTTTGAACATATGCATATACCAGTGTAAATAACCTTAATTTATTTTCAGGATTTCGTAAATCCACATCATATAAAGTGCCTATGTAAATGCGCTATAATACGACTACAGAGAGTAAAATTTCCTTCCATATAAATATGTGTGTTGGTAACCCTATTAAGTTGTGTGCAGAGTTGCATTCGCATCGTATTGATTTGTTTTGTACTTTTTCATCGTACCATCTGCTGCGACTGTGCATCAAGCGCATATAAACTTTGACAGTTTGTTATTGGGAGCAAATTTTGTGTTTACAGAAATTTTATTTTGATTCGTTTTCAGACGAAATAAATATTTTAATTTTCGAAAGTTTCTGTAAATAAAGGAGAATAGGGCGCACATCGTGATTTGGACCAATGTCAGAAAGTGCAGAGACGACACAACAAAAAATGGACAGACGTAAAAAACGCACATCGACCAACCAGTACATGATGTACATTGAAATGATGGAAAAGGACCCCATCTTTGCCACAGGACGCGTACCTAGAGACTATGATCCCAATTATTTGTCGAGAAAATGGAAAGAGCTGTCGGATAAACTGAATGGATGTAGTAATGGACCGACATTGACTTCCGAAGAGTGGCGTAAGGTAAGTGTGCAATGTTTGGCAGTGGTGGTCGATGGCGCCATTCTATTGCAGTGAGGGGGAGCAGTTGCACTTTATTCCCTGCCATGTCATTTCATCGCTTGTTTCTATTTTCGTAGCGTTTGAACGACTGGAAGAACACTACACGCTGTAAATATAGACGCAGTATATCGGGTGAAAAGGATATCACAATGACATCGCTGGAAATGCGTGCTTTGGAACTCTTCGGCAAAGTGCCGGCACAATCAGCACCCGAACAAATTTCAATACATTTCAAATCAGAAAAGGAGGAGGAGGACATCGATGATATGGAACACATGCCGACTACGGAAACATTCCAGAAGCAATTGCAGGCAGCCGTCGAAGAAGCTATTGGCGATGATGACGATCACATTGTTGAAAACGAAGCAGAGGAGCATGAGGAAATAGTGCCGGAGACTAACCACAATACAACAGTGCAACATGCCACGACTGTTACAACAGGAATTAACCAAAATAATGGACATTCGAGTGGTGGCGGTGCACCACAGCCGGGTACTACATATCGTACTATTGTTGTAGAGGACTCTGCCTACCACGAGGACGACAATACACCCGAGGAGCAATTGGAATTCATAACACATCGACGTTCAACATGTTCCAGTTCGGGTGTACAAACGGTGGTGACAACTCCATCGGGTACGGTGACAAAATTGATAAATGGTGATATACCGCTGAAGAGACTACGTTCACAAATATCCGATCAAATTATTTATGAAGGTAAGTGGGAAACCAAATAACTGTATTTTGGTCTTCATTCTTAGTGTAAACATTACATTTTACATGGAATCCAGTCTTTCAAAGGACTGGATAATTGAAAATAATTATCTTGTAAATATAATTATTTTCAAGTAGGGTTATTCCCGGATAAGAATAATTCATGACAGATGTTTGATTATCCATGCCTTAAGGGTATGGAAGCATTTATCAGTTTTCGTATACCTAAATCAAATTGGAAATGCCACAATTAACCATTTTGTATTTTACGAATCTTGATATTTTATCCTGTTGTTGTTCATATTATCTGACTTTAATGATTGCGACATATTGCAAAAATATCCATCACTTTTCAATAGGCTCGAAATTCACGATTTACTGTAATATTAAATAAAACAAGTCACGTTCGAGGATAAGAAGTTGGGCAAGGGTTTCAATATAAACGTCAGTAATTTGGTATTATCATTGGGTAGCAGATCGCCCTACTAAAAATATCAATATCGGCCCCTGTATTACGGCATTGTCCATTATTCGGTATTTAGGAAGTTTGGACATGTTTTTCAAACAAAATGGACTGTAAATTACTATTTGGGTTCTTATTGGGTCGGAAATTTCCCTACTAAAAATGTTCAATATCTGTTCAAATAACACTCTCTAATTTTTGTTATTTTAATCAGATATGTTTTTCAACCGATCTCTTCGTGTGAAAAAATCTTCTTCATAGAAATTTTTTGATATAATTTCAATATTCAACATTTTTTAATAAGTTTTCTACCACGCTCATGCGGTATTTTCGGTATGTTTAAGGTTCTTGTCTAATTTGCAGATCTAAGTGTCCGTACTTTTGTATTCGTTTTCTCTTGGCACAAATTACCGTAGTATATTTAAATTTCGATATATTTTAGATACTTTGAATATCCACTCCAATGTCCGACCTGAATCACTTGTTTCTTGTTGCAAATATTAAAAACTATGACCAATTATTTATGGAAAGTGCATTTCTTACACAGTTTATTATTAATTTTGTGACGTGACATTTGTAGAAATTATTACTCACATCTACTTAATATTTTCTACTTACAGTGAAAAAGGCACCACCTTCGTCACGTCCCACATTTACGGTATCACATCCACACATACAGCATCATCAGACACAAACACAAAGTCATCATCAGCAGCAACAACAGCAGCCGCAGCAACACCATCATCAAACAATCGTACAAGAGGTTCCCGCAACTTCATCAACATCCACACTGGCCGGTCAGTTATTTGCATCACAGGATATTCGAGAGGTAGCCCGACAACTAAAACGTCTGGCTGATATAAAAACAGAGAAACTCAAATTTGAAATTGCCCGTTACAAATTCAACAATCCCGGCTTCAATTACAACTTCAATCCCTTATAGTAGCATGAAACCGACAATGGCCATTATATACAAACCAATGTCGACATAAATGAACCTTATTATTCCTAAAAAAATCATATTGTAAAGTTTCAATATTTTATTTTCTAACATAACCCTATCTTTTAGTGACGTCATATGTTTTTACTTCTCCGAACTAAAACAAAATATTCTAATTATTATTTTATTTTTATAAATTATTTAAGTAATATTAAGTTTAGCAGCCATTCTATATATACATAACTACATAATTTTGTTGTAATTAGCTGGAGCAGTTTTTTTATTGTTTAAAAATGTTTAGTTCTATTTTTTATAAACCAAATTGTTATTTTATCCAATCCCACCACCACGTCCATCCAGCTTTGTAATTACGTTGAAAGACAACGTATTGTAAATTATAAAGCTTCTCACTTGTATGTCCTTTATATCTCAGCCATTCGATTTTATTTTTGAACAAACAATTGTTCTATAACATTTTAATTGCTACTTTTCTCTCTTTAGATTTGCATTATTTACATGACTGTGGATAAGTTATCATTTTACATATATAGATGTATGATCAATTGTAGTCAGATAGTTTTAGTCGTCATTTTTCATAAACTTTTGAATATACAAAAAGAAAGTGAATCAGCAACAATATACATACACAAAAAATTAAATGTTTTAACATTTTTTTTTTTTTTTGTAATTTGAATATTCATATGAAAAATTAATGTTTATAAATAATTAATTACAACTAAGGATTATAGAAAACAAACCACACAAAATAAATGATTAATTCAATTTCTGTTGTTTTGTTTTTCATTCTTTTAGAAAATGTGAAATGTCGCACGCCAATATAAAACTTCATTTAACTATAAGTTTGAGCCCTAATCTTCGATTTTCTGTATATTTGATACGCCCTATTGTCCATTAATGACACTTTAAATAATAAGATGTACCTGTAATGATCTATGTTTAGACCCCAAGGATCGTTGGACAGATTCCGTTTTTTGTTTTGCCGAAAAAATATTATTTTGAAAAAGATAATAAAACTAGAGGTGTTATTTTGAATTTCGCCGTTGCTGTCACTTTGTAGAACGCTACGCCACGATTAAAATTGGAACGAACGTTTATCTCAAACAGTTGCATTTATCTATATAACAATAATTGTCACCAATTTGTAGAGGTTCGCAAGTGATGAACCGCAATATATACATATTTAAATTAACTTATTCGAATATGGAAGTTATCATCATGTTGAGATTTTGCCCTACCATAAAATTTAGCAAATAAATATGTTGTTGCATTTTATTGACGTCTACAAAAGTGTATCCCATAACAGATTGTCTCAAATATTTTTTACCTTAAGGCTAAAGCAAATTATGAACATAAAATAACAGCACAATTGCCACCAATAGGGCTGCTACAACAACAATACACCGTTGAACTCCACGAATATCCAGAACATCAAACATAAGAATAAAAGATCAAGTGTAGTCATGTCCTCATTGAAAATCGATTCGTTACAGATGTAATACCAAAACGAAATATTCATAAAAATACCAAAACATATCATAGCTGAAAAAAATTTAAATGCTTTGTGTGTGGCAAGAAAATTTTGTGAAGATTACCTTACTAGTCGGTTTTGTAATATTAAAGGAACACTCCCATTTACGAATGCCATGTGCAAAGAGATCAACCGATGACAAAAATCAAAAATATTTTGTTTATAAAGTACAAGTTGATACACACCAATCGGACCGATCTTTCCAGTGACATCCTCTAAGGGTTTGAGAAAGGAACTAGGAGGAGTACATTGAACTCGGATATGATATAAGTCGGTAGGGATTGAGATAGAGGGTAAAGTTTTTCTTTTAGAGCTTCAATATTTTTTACGAAATTTTAATTATATGTATTCATGAATATCCGAAAGGAATTGGCAAAGACATAAAAGTATAAAGATACCACAATTCATATATCGACTGGATGGATATGTTTGTAACGGGCAAAAGGAACCGAGATAGACCCATGGTTTCTTTTGAGAATATGTAAAGAATCACTTTCTGAGTCGATTTACTCATGTCCGTCTGTCCGTCCACGTATTTTTGTGAAGAAAGTGTAGCTCGCATTTATGATCCGATGAAATTTGGCACATGTCACTTATTTGGCCCAAGGACGGACCCTATTGAAATTGGAGAAAATCGGTTCAGATATAGATATAGCTCCCATATAGTTTCGTCCTATTTTATGTAAATGGAGCACCATACTGCCAATACTTGCTCGATTGAGACTACATTTTGCACAGAGTATTGATTTAGACCCAGATTGAGGTATGAGAAGTTTTGTTGGAATCGGGACAGATTTAGATATTTATTTACATAATATTTTATAAAATCAATTTATAAAATATAGAAAAGGCGCCGAGTAACTAAGAACTTGTGCGCACGAAAAATGAACAATATAGGTAGTTAAAATAGATATACAAGTATATATTTACAAGACTTATGATAATAGGTTATGTCTGTTTAGATATTTTAATATATAATGGTTCTGAATTAGATGTCATTCACATTATGGGTATTTAGTGCTAGACGTATTCGATGTAAGAATGTTTTTGTGGAACAATCAAGTATTTCTTCTATTGTTAAATTATTAAAATATGGAAGGCATTCTATTAAAATATGAGAAACTGATAAAGTATCACCACAAAAAGAGCAGGGAGGGGGCTTTGCATTTTCGTAATAGTGGCGAGTGTTGAATAGGCATTTACCAACCCTGAGTCGGGCTAAGAAAATGCAATCGGATCTGTTCAAGTCAGCATTATAGCGAACCCTAGGAATTGTTGGGTTGACTTGTCTTAGGAATTTTGAGGAAGATTGCCACATATTTTTCATTGGTATTTGCAATTTGTTTAACAACAAAAGTAAGAAAAAATATGCCTGCTGGCTTATTAATTGCCCTGGTTTCTACCAGAAAAAGTCTAATGATACTGGAACGTATTAAAATAATAATAAGTGTTCGCACAACAATGTGTAAAATATTGTGGAGAGTAATGAAAGTCCTGGAAGACAAAGTGTGTGCAAGCTGTGGACAGCTGCAGACCAGGAGGAGCCCTTTTTATACCCTTCACCACACTGTGGTACAGGGTATTATGTCTTTGTGCATATGTTTGTAACAGGCAAAAATAATCGAGATAGACCCATGGTTCCTTTTGAGAATATGCATAGAATCACTTTCTTAGTCGATTTATGCATGTCCGTCCGTCCGTCTGTCTGTCCATGTTAAATTGTAAACAAAGTACAGGTCGCATTTATGATCCGAATTGGATGAAATTTGGCATAGGTCACTCATTTGGCCCAAGGACGAACTCTATTGAAATTGGGAAAAATCGGTTCAGATTTAGATATAGCTCCCATATATATATTTAACCGATTTAATGTAAACGGTCCCTATATATATTTCGATTTGCGCGAAATTTGGTACAGCGTAATCATTTAGGTCTAGAATGATGTCTGCCAAGTTTCGTGAAAATCGGTCCAGATTTAGATATAGCTCCCATATATAGTTTCGTCCGATTTCATGTTAATGGTGCACCAAAGTCCCTATATATCCTTCGATTTGCACGAAATTTGGCATAACGTACTGAATTGAGCCTAGAGTGATGTCTGCCAAGTTTTGAGAAAATCGGTTCAGATTTAGATATACCTCCCATATATAGTTTCGTCCGATTTCATGTTAATGGTGCCCACAGTCTCTATATATCTTTCGATTTGCACGAAATTTGGCACATCGTACTGAATGAAGCCTAGAGTGATATCTGCCAAGTTTCGAGAAAATCGGTTCAGATTTAGATATACCTCCCATATATAGTTTCGTCCGATTTCATGTAAATTGTGCCCCAAAGTCCCTACACATCTTTCGATTTGCACGAAATTTGGCATAACGTACTGAATTGAGCCTAGAATGATGTCTGCCAAGATTCGTGAAAATCGGTCCTGATTTAGATATAGCTCCCATATATAGTTTCGCCCGATTTTAGGTAAATGGTGCACCAAAGTCCTATATATATCCTTCGATTTGCACGAAATTTGGCATAACGCACTGATGTGAGCCTAGAGTGATGTCTGCCAAGTTTCAAGAAAATCGGTCCAGATTTCTATATAGCTCCCATATATACTTTCGTCCGATTTCATGTAAATGGTGCACCAAAGTCGCTATATATCTTTCGATTTGCACGAAATTTGGCATAACGTACTGAATTGGGCCTAGAGTGATGTCTGCCTTGTTTCGTGAAAATCGGTCCAGATTTAGATATAGCTCCCTTTTATTATAGATTGATTTTAAGTAATTGATGCACCAAGGAACCAATAGGCTGACAGAAACAAAACGTTCTGAAATTAGTATAACCTAACCTGTGACAAGTTTGTTTGAAATCGCCTAATATTTGGATAGAGCATCCATATATTTTTTCGCCCGATTTCAAGTAAATTGGGCATCAAACTCCTCATGTTAGTCATATTGACATCAAATTTTGCACAACTTACAAAATTGAGCATAGAATTGCGTTTTGTAGAAGTACAGACATAGCCCAACGGATGACCTATTTATATTTGTTTGAAGTCGATTTACTTACTTTATGGATAGATCTAGGTAGATTCACATTTAGATAAATATCACATATTTTATTTCATCCAATTTCATGTTAATAGTCCTGTTTAATATACCCATAGTGGTGAAGGGTATCATATAGTCGGCCCCGTCCGACTTTACTACTTTCCTTACTGGTTTATTTTCTTTTATTTTACTATAAAACTAATGTAAATACTGTATTTTTTAAGTAAATATTGTAAAAACACGTTAAATATTACTTCAGCGTTCTTTTTCAACTTGTACGTGCTCAGAAAAACACGTACGATCTCATTTCTTTTTCAATTCACAAGGCTATATGTGCTCGAATTATATTCCCAATATTTTTTTGGGAATTCGGAATGGAGCATACCAAATTTGGGAAAATGTTTCACATTCGAGCAAACTCGAAATGCAGCACATGGGCGAATATCTGCGAAATCATTTCCCTTAATAAAAGAATGCGATGGTATCCATAAAATT